TTTTATAATATAATTATAATTGTATATATAAGAGGAAACATCAAGTTTTAAATCCATCAAACTTTAATGAGACCTTAATATTGATTTGTAATTTAATATATTCTATCAAAAATAGATTTATCGCGTCACAGTCATTTATTTTTGAACTTTCACGTTCCTAATTGGAACAATGTTTGGCGATTTGACAAGGTTCTTCCAATAAATTAATAAGATAAGTGAATGATGTGTTTTCCTTAGACAAATAAGATTTCTACAAAGCAAACTGGGCGATCTTTCATGAGTGCATGAGAATGCAACAAAGTTTCAAGCTCACGAAATTCTATTTGTACAATAGCTTGAAAATTAAATTACTGATACTTTGGTATTCAGATCAAAACATAAATTCAAGAATTAAAGTTAAATTAAGTTTTCTTGGAAACTCTCAACGATTTAAAGAAATTAAATTAGAATATCTCTAGAATGTCACTCTACTCGCCTCTGCTGCATTCTTCAACTCGGTCCCTTATAAGGTAGTAAATATATTTTCGTGATCACACAATACATTCCGTAACATACCTCGTCACTAATGATCAAGCTGGGCCTACGACCCAATTCCTCGGGCGGTATGAGCGAACCACGTCGACTGCCAGCACCGCTTCCGGGTGCTAAAGAGCCCTTCCTGCTGCCGACCGGTGTCACGTCTTTGATAACTTCAATCTTGGGTGTTTCGGGCGCTTTAATTTCTGGTAACTTCGGCTACGACGATCGAAAATTAATTGATTAATAACGCTTGATTCCTATCAAGTCCGTTTAGAAAGTTAAATAAAGAGTTAAAACTTTTTTCAATTTTGTTAATTAATTTAATGTTCCTTCACACCAATTACACGTAACCATAATTTAATCTTTTCTCTTGGTTGGCAGAAACAATTTAGCTCCATATGTTTTATCAATAAATAATTTTTAGATAAGTACACGGAGTTTTTTTTCTTAACATGATTAAAAAGAGTATGTAAATATATTATTTAACAAATACAAATTATAAATACTAATTACATTTGTTTTTTAAATTTAAGCATTTATAAATTGATAAAGCTAAACAGAATCACGATTACGTTAGCCAATTCTTGATAACTTTCAACCTAATCCACAAATACACTTTAATGATTCATTTTTATTAATAAAAAGTCATTACTTGATAGCGACCCAAAACGATGACTTTATCAGCCGAGATATCGAAGTATTAGAATTTGTGTTAACACGTTGATTTAATACAGTCGCGCACGTAGGGCGATTACGACTGACCCTGCAATTCGAATCCGAGTTGCTATTGGGTCAGTCGTAATAAGGCCGAAAATAGCGATCGAAGTTTTCCCCATCCTCGTTCACGACGACGACGACGACGACGAAGACGAGAAACCGATTTCAAGGGGATGATATACGAGCATTTATTCGCTAAAATAGTTCTGTCGCGGGCGCAGCGTCGCGCGATGCACAGAAAGCATTCATCGCTTGCCAAGGCAAGATTCGACCTGGCTGATTATTACCCCTTTCCATTTCTTCCCCTGTCCCCTTCCCTATGCATTCGCAACGCATTAATTGCGATTGTGTAGGTGGCACGAGGATATTTATGGCGCGGGGGCACTGCATTTTTGACAAGAACAGAAAATATAAGGTGAAAATATAAGTATACTCTAATTCCTAATCTAAAGGATTATTAACTGAATTGTTACACGGCCTGCTTATTTCAAAAATAATTCGATTTTACACTCAAATAAATGTAAGTATAAAATTAATATAAACTAAGCAGTCAAAATAGTAAGAGCATTCTTGGATATTCCGAGTAGTTTTTTAATTCTACAGTTTAATAAAACATTAGATATAATTATTACACCACATTTAATAAAATTGAAAGGAATAACAAAGTATATTACATAAATAAAATAATAAAATCTATATATTATACATTATATAAAATTGTATGATCTCTTTGTTATTTGTATATGTACACGGAACATCTCATGTATTTTTAGATATATACGGTTCTTTAAAAATTTACCGTCCTTCCAAGCTTACTAAATAAGTGACGTGAGTTTTTACCTCGGCTATAATTAAACCGTCAGTATAAATCGGGCGTAAAAATTAATTATCCTGAACCGCGTATCGCAAGGCTCGATCAAAACATCTTCGAGTAACGTGGCATTTCCAAAATTAGCAAGATTCCTCGCGAACGAGTTTGGCAATTTGGCAAATTCATATTTTATCTTCATTATTAATAAAAGACAATTGCTTACCTTAGAATCGAGTTTCTGCACGTCAACATGAAAACAAAAAACGTATAATAATTAGTATTAGAAAATTTAATTGACGTTTAAATAAACTTACATATATTACTAGATCTTTTCTATAAATCTCTACAAATTTTTTAATTAATCATAAAATATGTTTTTTAATGTATTTTTATAAATGTTCAAATTATTTTATTTTTTTTTTATTATTCTAACATAATGATTATAAAATATATCGTTTATGTACAGAGATTTTAACTTCTTCCTTACCTGTGTGACCGGTCTTTCGAGTTTCGTTTTATCGCGAGGAACATATTCGCCAAAATCAAATTCTTGAGGTTTCTCCAGAACAGCCCTTTCATAATCCGGAATTTCCGGGAGCTCGTAACCTGCGTCCTTCGCTGCCTTCGTTGCCTTTGCCTTCTTCGCATCGACCTTTTCCGTCTTTTCAGTTTTCTGCATTACAAATGATAAACGATATAAGATCAAAAAGAAATTTGCAAGAAGATACACATTATTACGTGTCAGACATGGTGCTGGTTTAATCCCTGTACAAATCTCCGATAGCAAGGAAAAATGAGTATCGGAGATAACCTTGTGAGAGTAGAGCGAAGAGTGTGTGAAGACAGAGAGGATTAAAAGAAAGAAGAAATATCAATCTCTTAAAAGGGATTTCTATGCATCTTATTAACTTCGTTATTAACATAAATAGAATTATTAAAAATCACAGAAGAGTTAGAATATATCGAAGAAAGATAAGTGCAACGTAGAGTTTAGAAATGTGCTGCAATATATAAACATGTGTAGAATTATTCAGAGAGAAAATAAGTTTAGAACAGAGAATGTTTAATTAATTTTACTTATATTAAGAACATAGAGTGAGAGAAATATCTTTAAGTGTGTGTGTATATATACATATATACATACAGAGAAAGAAGAATGCGCACAAGTATATTTCGGCGCTGTTTAATAATTAGAAAACAAAATTAGAATTGCTATAAATTGAAGTTTAGCAGTTTAAAAACACAGAATGCGAGACATAGAGATTGTGCCACAAGATCGTGTTGATCCCTTTTGCAGGGCTACCTTGAGAGCCACCCCGCCATTTTCAGCCTGTTGAGGCTGTTTCGGATCCTTCGCAACTGGTTTAAGCTGAATCCCCTGAAAGCTTTCGGTTTTTACTTCCTGTTTTGGTGGTAAACGGGATTTCGGTTTGGTCTCGATGGTATTCTTCGGCTGTATTAATATATCGTTGTTAGGAGAAAAACTTCATGTCAAATATATAAATATGTTCGCTTTGCGGTATATCAAAATCAAATTTTAAAAAGCGAGGAATGCACAAAACTAAGTTAATCTAATACTATTCATTCAACAATATTAGATTAAATCTCATAATACTTAATAAAATATTAAATCAAACTTTTCTTTAATACTAATTTCTTAAATAATTTTGTTATTGTTTCTACACCTACTAACTGTGAAATATTGAACGTTACTTTAAACGATTATCGTTAAATGTAATAAGAGAAATGAAATTACCTTAAGCTCGACTTTTTCTTGAGTTTTCTTCTCCTCCTCGAGTTGCTGAAATAAATAAAAATTGAATATTAGCAATATACATACGAGCATATCTATATCTTTTTTTCTACAATTGTATAAAACATTTTAGAAATACTCAATGAAATGGAAATTTTTTTCTTTTTCTTAATAATATTATATTAGACTAACATTCAAAAAATGCGTGTGTTTAGAGACTTTATATTAATTTTTTTTTATTACAAAAATTATAATTATTTTGACGGATTTCAGACCTTTCTTAGTGATCTCTTCTTCTTTCTGCAAATAGAAATATAAAAGTTAAACTCTTTCTTTACAAAATTTGTACCCTATTTTATAAAAATATCAATGTTAGATTGTATGTATAATGTGTATGTGTTTTATCAAATATACCTTCGGTTCTACTGGTTTAGATGTAAGTTTTGTTGCAGGTTCCTCTTTCTACAAAGCAAAATTTGTTTTAATTCAATGCTCTGTAAATTTCTTCTTAATAATATTAATTATTTAATTTCTTTAAAATTAATTATATTATATTTTATATTATATTAATTTCTAAATGTTTAAATAATTTTGTTATAAATTAATGTATACAAAATAAAAAATTTTCTTCTAGAGTACTTATAATATTTTGCTTTTGTAAATATTTATGTATTTTAGTAAAAAACCTAACAATAAACTGTATTAGAAGATTATTAATTATTGTTTAAAGACATAAAAGATAAAAATCTCTTAATTTTATTACAAAACGCTGAACAATTTTTGAGAGATTTACGTTTTTTGAATTAGTACGTTTGCAATTGTAGTATTTTTAATATTCAAAGATTTTAATATTTGTTATGTTTCTAAAATTTTCAAAGTAAAAGTTTTAGTTTTGATGTAATAAGCATTTGATGTATCTTTAATTCGTTTGGTTTAAGTTTAGCCATCGGTGTTTCCTATAAATGTACAAGTACTTAATAATATAATTTTAATTTTTAATTTTTTTAATTTTTAACATTGTATTTTATATGTATTTTATATTCTGTTAACTTGTACAAGTATGTTTTGTTTACCTTGACTTCCCCTGGTTTTGCCTTAGGCTTTTCTTCAACCTAAAAGTATTTTTACAATTATAATATTTATGTGTAAATATACATAAAAACTTGAAAAGTATACCTACACAATAAAATAAATATATATAATTACAATATAAAAAAAAGATTGTGAAAAAGTATACCGTATACCTCGTCTCGCTTTAAATATGATATGAATTCTGTTTAATTTTTATATAAAATGATAATTGCAAAAATAATACTTCAACCTAAATTTTTCATCTAATTATCTTATATTATTTATTTTGTTATTCTTTCGAATGTATGATGTATATGTTGTTGTCAAAATAGTGCACGAATGTACGTGTACCTTTACATCTTCCTCTTTAATTTTAGCTTTTGGTTCCTCCTAAAAGTATATGTAAAATAAAACATTGTACATTTTTCGCGTCATCGCTATGATATAGTTTTATTTCGCATTTTAAAAGCCTAATTATTGAGCCTAACTTTGCTTCTAAATAATACAATACTTTTTGTACCTTTATTTCGCTCGATTTAGACTTCGCCTTTGGCGCTTCCTAAAAGTGTACAATTGGTGTTTAAATAGTGTCTTTTAAAGTGTCACATTTATTAACTACATATAATTCATGCATTTTTTTTTGTTAACCGCGAGACTTGCATAAATATGTGTTACTACAAGATCTATCTAAATATCTAATCAGATCTAAATATATCTTTAGTTCCTCTAGTTTAGGTTTAGCTTTCGCTTCCTCCTAAAAGTGTAAATTTAAGTGTTAATGTCTTATTTTTCATATCAATAGACTGTAATACAGTTGAACCGATTATTCAAATTATAAAATGTGTTATAAAGTGTTTTGTGTACCTTTGATTCGTCTGGTTTGGATTTGTAAAAGTGTACTTTCTAAAAGTGTACGAATAATATTTAATAGTGTTTCTCATTTATTATCCCTTTTTATTTTATTGTATTCTTTTTTTCTATTGTGCAAATGTATATTGTTGCAAGATATGTATATGTGTAAGTATATGTGTAAGTATACCTTTACTTCCTCTGCTTTAGGTTTGGCTTTTGGTTCCATCTAAAAATGTTCAAAATATGTTTAAATGTAAAATATGTCTTAAAGTTACACATTTACGGCATGTGGTTAATGCAGCTGGTGCTCATTTTTCAAGTGTGGCGTGATATTAGAAAAGAGTAATATATTTTATATATTATGCTTTATCTGTTGCTGTACATATCTCAGCTGTAAATCTCTGCAGTGTTAATCGTGAGCAAAGAATTGTTATATATATAGAAATACGATAATAGTGTAATTATTTTATACCTTCGCCTCTCCCGGTTTAGGCTTGACTTCCTCCTAAAATGTAGTAATAATATTTTTTAAATTCGTGTTTTTAAAATATAAATTTAATACTTTATTTTTTATTATTTCATCCTACGGGGGGATGACTGAATGTAATTGTGAGGAAAGTAAAATATTTATTTAAAATATTTATATTAATAAAAAAATTAATTACATGTTGAAATTTTTGTATGTGTTTTAATTATATTTTTTTGTGTACCTTCGGAGTTTCAGGTTTCCCGGGAGTTTTCGGTTTTGTGGTCGGTTCCTCTTTCTAAAAGATATTTATATATACTGTGAGATTTATATGTTGTAAAAGTGTATTTCTGTTTAAAAATGTGTAAATTGTGTAAAAGATATAAATAGTAAATAGATATGTTGTAATTAATAAATATATGTATATAAATATATGCATATAAAATACATTATCATTCTACGCTGTTTTACCCATACAGCACAGAATTTGCAGCAATATTGCTGAAAAATCTCTGCAATATTGCAGCAGTGTTGCTGCAACTTTTGTGCAACTTTGTGTACTGTAGAAGTTAAAACATAATATTATATAAACAAATATGCATATTATTGTTAGTGACAATTACAAGCATGTAGCGCAATGCAAAAATTAATAACAAATATTTATAATTAATATTTGTACAACTAATCATATATTGTTTTATTTCCTATATTTTATTTCCGGAGATATAACATTCATCTTTTGTATCTTTATAATTGTGATATGTATAATATATTATTAACATATAATTGTATACCTTAGATTCATCCGCGGATTTAGGTTTTTTCTTCTTTGGTTTCAATACTGGTTCTTGGTCCTGAACAATATTTATAATCAACAAAATCATAGACATTTAGAAGAAGAGCAAGAAGATAAAAAGCAGCAAGAGAAAAAGAAAACGCTTATCATAAAAAGATGATAGGAGAAAATTTTCCGTAACAATAGTTAGCGAAAGATGTCAATACATATTTGCGAAGACACACTAGACAGCTTCGAAGATTATAATAATATAGAGAAAATGAAAAATTTGTTGCATCTAAGATTACAAAGAGATTGAAGAGTTATGCGACCAGAAGATTATGCGATCAGATCAGTGGAAAGTCAATGATTAGCACTGACAAGAAATGAAGATCGTTTTTATACCTCGGATCCTTCCGTTGACTTAATCGACGATCTACGTCTAGTGGACACCTTTTTCTACAATTGCAAAAATATAATAAAACCGAAAGAAAATAACAATGTGTTGTGTGTGTAAAGTACAATTTTTGTACAATATTATACCTTGGGCACTTCTTCCTTGTCAAATGTAGAGTTAATATCTTTAGTCTAAAATGAAAAAATTTAAAAAATTATATTATTCAAATTTACTGTATATTGTGTATTGCGTGCATTTGACTGCGTGCATGCGACTGTATGTGTGAGAATGTACCTTCTCTTTGGGTTTAATCTCGCTTTTTTCGTATTCAGGTATATCGCCCTCCTAAAAACATTAAAGGATAAGATCTGTCCGAAAAGCTCATTTCATATTTTCTTAGTTCTCTCGCAAACGGATAAAAATATAATTAAATTAAAATCGTTTTATGTTAAATATTAAATAAGATCAATTTAAATAATAAATATATAAAAGTAATATCTGAATATTAAAAACTAATACGTTTTTTAACTAATATAATATAGGTTTAAGTGTCGATTATTGTGAATGTATGAATGTCGAATATACATATATACCCTGGACTCTTTGGGTTTGCTTATGCTGTCCTTAGATTTGGATGCAAGTTTAGGCGCAGGTGTGAATGTAAGTTCCTGCGAGATTTTAAAAGCCGTCATATACCGAATTAGGTACGTGATTTTTGAATAATGTAAGAATGAGTACTTGTAAATTTAATAATGTATACCTCTATTTTAACTCCATTTTTATACGGCGCAACTTTGGAAACTCGCGAATCCTAAAATGTATCAATATTACAACCTACTCTGTAAACAAAAGTAAAAATAAATACAGTGTCAATTGCAATTTGCATATACCTCCAATTTTTTGATTGATTTAGGCGCGTCGTCCTCGATTCTCGAAACCCAAATATCCTACGATCGCGTTATTTTATTATATTAATCGAAAGTACAATAATAAAAAAATATAATGCACTGTGTATGTGTATTCTGTACCTCAATATCGTCGTCGGATTCGTGCGTTTGTGGTTTAACAGTAGGTAATAAAACATTCTAAAAATTAAAAAATAAATCATTGTTTTTTCAATATACCTATATTTTGCATGTAATATTAATTTCTATCTAACAATCTGTCTCACCGCACAAATGTATGTATGTGTATATAACATATGTATAAGTGTACCTTATCAGATGTAATAAAATTTCGTTCATGCTCGATGAATTTTGGCGGATTTGCCCATACGTCCTAAAATAATATATCGATTTAAAAATAAATAAAATAATAGTTTTGTTGTCCGCTATAAGATTATAAATATTTCGTAACTAACATAATTATAGTGCGTGTAGTAAGTTTTGACATCTCGATCTAGTGGAAGTTTGTGAGATATGTCCGTGAAGCACACGGTATCCTAAAATAACAGCATACTTTACCAAGCTGTTTTATGTAAATGTAAGACCCGAAAGTGTGAGTGGTGTGAAGTGAAGTGGAGTGAAGAGAAATAAAATGTTATATGTATTCATATATTCATGTACCTTATCATGTACAACGCGTTTATCGTCATGTCCTTTCGATTTCGGCACCAATTTGTCCTAAAATTTTAAGAATGTATTTTAACGTATTCTATTATATTTTTAAACAAAGAAGAGATAAATTTGACTTTATTTTGTGTATTATATTTTTATTTATTATATATAATTTTCCTAAAATAAATTCTGTTGTCTTTTATCAATTAACTATCATTATTATTATCTTTTTATTAAAAAATGTAAATGGATAAAACTAAATTCTTTTTTAAATTGGATATTATCTTGGCTCGTGTATTATTATCTACCTCATCATTTGGCTTGGACTTGATATCACGTACTTTTATTTTGTCCAAAACTATTTTATCTCCTTCAGTTTGATCATCAGGTTTTGATACGCGTCTTTTAGCCTTAATTTCCGGTGTATCCTATATAATAATAATAATAATAATTTTGAATTTATTATTTTATAAATTTTCTCAAATATGCGCGAAATGTCACGTAGTGTACCTCATCTGTTTTGTGTGGTTTGTTTTCTCTTCGTTTGGATGAAATATCCTAGAAGTCAGCATTAAAAAAATATGTAAAAAATCTGTACAATACGATGTGTAAGTGTATTCTGCAATGCGTAACGTACATGTACCTCGATTTTTTCGTCAGATTGACGACGAGACGATTTGTCTTTAAATTTTGATAAATCCTAAAACAATATTAAAATTAAAATATTATATATCTTTTCTCTTAAATAAATTTACACTAATTGTGTAATTAATTATTAATATATTAATTTGCATAGTATGTCGTATACTTTGCCGTATGTCTTAGAATCATGTTTTTTCGATTTGGTCCAAATATACTACACAGTATTAATATTTTAAAGATAAAATTTACTTCTAAAAAATGATATAAGTGTTATATACCCCAATTTTTTCATTAGATTTATGTGGACGTATTTTGTGAATAGATGTGTCATGTGTTTTCTCTCTCTGTTCTGACACTTCGTCAGGTTTTTGTAATTGTAGTTTAGCTGTAGGTGTATCGCGTAAAAGTGTCTTAACTTTTGGTATGTCCTAAAATATTATTTAACATGTGATTACTATTAGCTTTATTCTTACTCAATTAATTGTATACGTGTGATAATTAATAATTATATTTTATATAATTATTAACTATATATATTTTAGATTTCTTTGAATCAACGCGTTCTTTCGGCAATGTATCCTAAAAAAAGATTATTTCGAAAGTGTGTAACATATGCTTTATAAATTATGTGATGATATTTGTCATATACCTCAATTTTTTCTTGCAAATGTATTTTATAAGTAGGTGTGTCATGAGAAAATGTTTTATCTTTTGAAACATCGTCAGATTTATGGGCAAGTGTTTTACTCCTAGATATATCACGCAAAGGTGTTTTCTCTTTCGAAACATCCTAAAATAACATTTAAAATTTTATAGCCACTTCTAAAAAGATTCTACTATATTTATAAATAATATTTATAATTTAAATATGTATACGTCTACTTTTTCATGCTTTTTGGGGGAGTCATTATCGCGTTCTTTGCTCGCACAAATATCCTAAAAACAGTAATATATTAAAGATATGTAATTTATGTGCCCCACAATAATATTATATACCTCAATTTCATCCGATTCGTCAGATTTTTTCGGATGTATTTTATGTATTGTGTCATGAGAAAGCGTTTTATCTTTTGAATTATCGTCATATTTACGCGATAGTACTTTACTCGTAAGTGTATCATGTGGTTTTTTCTCTTTCAGAATATCCTAAAATAATATATTTAAAATTTTATTCTTTTAAAGAAATTCAAACTGTTCGCGAATAATTTCTGTAATTTAAATGTATTTGCATACTTTGTCACATTTTTTAGAGTCAATGTCGTATTCTTTACTCACCCAAATATCCTAAAAATATTGATTATTTAAAGATATATACTACATGCCTAGCCATTATACAATAAATATTCTGTACCTCAATCTCTTTATCCGATTTTTGTGGATGTGTCTTATTTGCGATGGTGTCATGTGATATTTTATCTTTTGGTTTGTCTTCATCTGATTTTTGACGTGAATGTGTTGTATCTGCGGGTAAGTGAGGTTTGTGTGTTTTATCTGTTGACATATCCTAAAATAAAAAAATATTATGTTCGAAATATCATGTTCTTTTAAACTAAAATGTATTGAGCTTTCATGTATCATATTTGCATACTCTGTACGGTATAGATTCATTATCACGTTCTCCCGGATTGTGAATACTCCAAACATCCTAAAATGAATACCGTCGATAAAATACGCAACATTCGTGAAACGTTTAATTATCGTTATAATATAGTTTATATGTGTATGCGTATGTGTACGATATAATTTCTTATATACCTCACGTTCATCATCCGAATCGCGGACGCGTGGCTTAATTGCAGCTTGAGGTGCAACCTAAAAAGTTTACTTTTGTGTAATTCTTCTTGTTGCAAATATTATAAATTTTTCCGATTTTAAGGAAACTACATTTTGTTAAATACAGTCAGTATATAGCGCGAGATATGTACCTTCGGTTTACGATCAGTTTCATGAACGAAAGAAGTTGCCCTGGACTTCGTAGTTTCCTATAACGTTTTATATGTTTATATCGCGTGTCTTAAGACGCTTAAACATGACAAAAAATGCATCACGTACCTCATAATGTCTTATTGATTTACTATCGTGTTCTATCGGTTTAGACGACCAAACGTCCTAAAATTAAATGTAACGTATATGCTGACCTAATGGACAATATACGATTGAGAGTAATAGGTATTGTGTTTATGTCTATGTACCTGAATCTCTTCGTCGAATTTATGTGTGTGTGGCTTGATTTTCGCTGTGAGTGTGTTCTAAAAAAATAGTTATCTCGTTACAAAATACAAAAAAAAGGATATAAAATAAAATAAAATAATTAGAGTAATTAAAATGTGTAAGTGTACCTCAATTTCAATCATTCGCGAAATGGCTCTTGGCCTGAATGCGGATACATCCTGCAATAGTACGAGATAAAATATTCTCTTATGATTCTTTGTACAAAATCTATGATTTTACCCCAATATTTATTACACAAAATAAAAAATCCAGCGTTACCTATTATTTTTGACCCTATACTATATTCTTAATTAAATTCTTATTATAATAATTGTAAAATCTTACAGAGAGCATAATTTTTGTATTTTAAGTAAAAACTATAATTTTCTTTTTATTGAAAATTATTTGCACATTAAAAGCTTTAAAAGTCAAATCTACGAATAAAATTATTTTCAAAGACTACTCAGAAAAAAAACAAAAATCAATTATATAATTTATATTAACACAAGCTGGTTTTGCCAAACAATAAAATTACATCAAGCTATTAATTTAATAAAAAATAATTTATTTCTATAAAATATTAAAACTCCTTCTTATGTCGATTTTGAGAAGGTGACATTCACTCACGTATACTTACTTTATTCTTCTAAAAATTATAATAGTCAACTAATCAATTAATTAATAACCAAATATTTTGTTAGCACATTATGTAATTAATTAAAAACAGCAAGATATATTTTTTTACCTTTTCAGTCGTTTTCTTCTTTTCTATAATAGAAGATCGTCTGCTTTCTACTGTGACTTCTTCTTCGGTCTAAGATATGTAAAACATAAATTAAAATTTGATTGACGTAAGTTCTCTAATTTATAATAGTTAATGTTTTTCAATAAAATTTCTATTTTAAAACAGGCCTAAGTAAAGTAATAGACCTAATTAAACACGTAAGATTAACTATTTTACAATAATAAAATACTTTAATTTATGTTATTTTATTCTAGTTCAAATTTTTTTTCAATATATTAATTTTGTAAAATTAATTGTAATTGTTTTTTTTTTGGTAATGTTTGTGTGTGAAATGTGTATATGTATGTGTACCTTCTGTATAGAAAGACGTCGTGGTGTCGCGGTGCCATCATCCATTATCTATACGATAATAGTAAAAAATAAAAATAATTTGTGTTTTATATAGTACTTGCATCTAATGGTGCAGAATAAATTTACCAGACCCGTAGCTTTTAAAGTATTTACGAAATTTAGTATCACAATATCATATATACCTTCTCATCAGTCTTGATGATCGAACTACGACGACTCTCTGTCTTAAGTTCTTCCACCTGAAATATAACAAGTTATATATAAAATCTATTTTTCTAACTGATTAAAAAAATATATATATAATACATTAATACCCTTACCCTGATTGATTCTTTGCGAGTCACCGTTTTCTCAGATTTAGGCGTAGTTTCTCGAGATACCTAAATATAAATAATATTAGATATACAATATTTGTCCAAATTAATTTAATAAATTAATTTAATGAATACCTAAAATAATAATATGCTATATAATTACTTGATTAGTACATAAAATAAAATACGAAAATAGAACAATTGAATTATGCATACCTCTTTGGATTCGGGTTCTTTCTTTTTTATAATCTTTTTCTAAAAAGAGTTAAGATTTAAAGATAAAAAAGGTCAAAAAATAAATTATTGAACAAATATAAATTAAATGTATAAGAATCATTGCGTTCACCTTTTCTTCTTCCTTTTTGTCTTCGATTTTCTCGGCGGCTTTCTTCTATAAATTGAAAGAAAAATAGAAATATGAACTTAAGTATAGACGAACTAAATACATTGTTATCACTTAATTACAATATTTAATAAAGAAACACATTTTACACCATTCTTACCTTAATAGATTTCCTTTCTTCAACATTATTCACGATTTCTTCGTCCTTCTACATATGTAAAGAAATAAAATAATATTAGCAAAATATTTCCTCTATTTAATTTAGAATACACAATAATCAGAGATATAGTTGCACCATATTAAAGTAATTTAAGATGTTCACATTTAATCAGCAATAAATATCTCTGAGTTTCGTTTTTGAACAAAATTTTTCACGCACAAACACACATAGTATAAACATACAAAGAAAAAGCTACATGCAAGAATTTATATAATAAAGAATTAAACACATTAAACACAATACATAAAGAATTAAACTTTAAAGCAGAATTGGATTTGAAGGAACCAGCTTCTGGGACTCGGAAAGAAATATGGCATCTGAAAAAGCACTTGGAAAACTTGGGTTTTTTATGCGAAGAAAAATTAATATTAAGGCGATTGTTTAAGCATGCGCAAGAGATCGTTCGAAGAAACTTATCAGATAAGCTGAGATTAAGTGGATGCTGCGAAAAATAGAATAATATAAGCAAATCTATTTAGCGCAAAAATGATGAATATTAATCGCATAAAGATAATTTTTAGATAAGATTTCATCGAAAAAAAACTGAAAATATATTGCGATTTATAAATTTGTCGTTTCGCAGATTGGCCAAAATATTTCGCTATAGCTTCAACCTTCAGAGCACAGTATTTATTCAAGCGAATCAAAGTTGCTTTTCGAGCGCATACATTACCGAAATCCAACTTTTGATATTTCATGCTCACCTGTAAGATCTCCATTTTCTGAAACAGAATACATCAAGACTATTATTTTTTTTTCATATATTTTAAATATAAAACTTAGAATCTTTTCTACAAACATATGATTCGAGTTTATATAATTTATCAAATATATACTACTATTTGTAGGAAATTTGCATTTAAACTTTTATACATACAAAATAAGCTTTTATACATATTATGGAACACACAATACACACATGAATCTCAAAGGTATGACACAAAAAAAAAAGGTATGACAGGGAAAGTGCAAACGAAAATAACAATGGATAAAATGAGAAGGGGAATAAATGATAAATAATTATTATCATGTGACGTGTTCTGATTATAGTGTATTGTTTTCTTTTGTAAAAAATTACACTTGATATTCCTCTCAAAAAATTAAAAAAAAATAATTATGTCTCGTACCTTCCCAACCCCTGGTTTGTCGATACCATTCGGTTTCAAATCAGGCTTATCCTTAAAAATAACAAGAAAAAAATGGATTTATCTTTGATTGATCATCCTACAAAGACATAAGTTTCACAATTTATAAAAAAAAAAGAAGAGAAGTTTAATTAGCGGAGTATTTACATGTAATAAATTATAAAATCATTAATATTAAAATAATAATTTTATTTTATATAATAATTGAATAAACAAAATCACTTTTTTCATTTTATAAAAAGTAATATAGAGAGTGTTAAAAAAATTATTATTATTAAATATTTAAATATAAAAATTTAATATAAATTGATAAAAGATGGATTCTATAATATGCATTAGTGTTGATATAGTTCGTGTTTGTGTGTACCTCGACGCAAGAAATTATTTCAGAATCTGATTCCTCGAGAATGGCTTCTGTGTTGATAATGCTGGACTCAATTACACTCACCACTTCCTCCTCTTCCTCCACCTCATATTCTTCTGATCCTTCACCATCATCGTCGCTCCATACTGAACTAATTACCTTATATATCGAGATATAATTTTTCAACTATATACCAATTGACGCGTCGAGGAGTCAAAAGATCGATCGATTTTGCAAATTATATAGCAGATGCTCTTAATACAGTACTCAATATTTTTGCACTTTGATAATCAATCTTGCATAATACACAATTATATAAAACTAAAATTCTTTTTTTGTTTTTCAAAGATATTGAAAAAGATACTCTCTTTTTATATAATAATAATTATTTTTAGATAATTGCAAGTACATAAAGAAGCATACTGCAATAAATTTTGCAAAACGATTAATCTTCCTGTATCTGTATCACGCTGTATGTGATCAGTGTAGTAACTTGTTAATCACAAGAGGTATAACAGAAGGAATAAGGAAGCGACAGAAAATCATTAAAAATAAAATGAAAATTTTAATTAATTTTCCCATCTCAATGGTTACCTTCTTTTCTTCCTTCTTTTCCTCCTTCTTTTCTTCAGCTTTCTTTTCTACCTTCTTTTCTTCTTTCTTTTCTTCCTCTTTTTTCTCCTCTTTCTTCTCAACCTTCTTCTTCTTCTTCTCTTCCTCCTCCTCGTCTTTTTTCTTTTCCTCTTTCTTCTGTAATTTCATGAGGGAATTGCATGCAACATTGGAGAACACATACAAATAATCTTCAAATTTATCAAGAGAACAATGATTTAGTTACATTACATATTCATTAGTTTAATTCTACATTTGATAATTTGACATGTCAATTTTTCAACGGGGTATATTTGGATCAGTTTATAATTATTAGCAATACATTTCAAATTCAGTAAAAAAAAGGGATGATAATTACAATATAAATTCATGCCAATTTTTATAAAAATGCGAATTTCTTGTAATATATTGGAACATAAATTTATACAAACACCAAGAAAGTGACTAAAAAACTTGCATCCGTTATTAATAAATAAATTCATGGTGAAAAATTATTAGATAAAATTGCTTACGTTGACGACGAGACGAGCCGACGATTCATCTTGACCGTATTCATTGCTCACGGTGACTTTATACGTTCCTGAGAATTCTGTCGTTGCCGAGGTGATAGTCAATTTCATATCCAAGCCATTAAAGGAAATCATAATGTCCTTTGACGCTTTGATGACTGTGGAATTTCTGTAATTATATTATAAAATTATTATTGCAACAATTATGAAGATTTGAACAATTTATTGAAACAATTTATAACATAAGAAAAGGCAATTGATAAAAAAAAATGCACGAATGTCAGCTATCAAATATTAGACAAATTGTCCTAGATAATACTATTCTTTTATTTTTTTAATAAAATTATTTTATAAAATTTCTAAATAAAATATGATATTTTTATATCACAAAATTAGCATATTATTTAAAACTTAATGTTTATATTAAATACGTACTTATACCACGTGACAGTGACTTTTCGATCTTGCGTTGCGAGAGTTGCGACGAGCTCGACCGTTTTACCTTCCTCGACGGTCTAGAAACATAGTATATAGCGCATAACATTAATTAATAAAGAAAATTTTATTTTAACAATATTATCTTTTTATCAAAACAAATGTAAAATAAAGAAAGCGTTGTATTTTAACTTTTGAGTACGAGTAAAAAATTAAAAATACTTACAATTGACTTGAGGCCGGTAACAATTTTGGGTTTTTCTCCTTGGTCTGGAATTTCCGTCACTTCCACTACTTGTGATGTGGCTTCGCCTTTATCATTGCGTGCCACTAATTTATACGTGCCTTTATCTGTCGTCGACATTTGTTCAATTTCGAGTTTTATAGCGAATTCACCCTATTTGAATAAATGAATTAATTAAAATTTATATAAATATAATAATTTTTTAAATAATAATTATGTTGTCATAATGTATACTGAGTAATATTCAACACTGCTACTTTCTAGTTAAATACACAATATCAATAAACATAAAAAAATAATAAAAACAATAATAAATGTATTGGATAATTTTATTGTATAAAACTCACTTCTTTAACTTGCTCGATGTGCAACTTGTGTCTATTATCCTCTTTAACGGCTTGAGTTTCCTTGAACCACGTGCAATCAGGCGCGAATTGAGAAAGAACATGACATTCAATTACGACCGTCTTCTTTTTAACGATCTTTATCACCTTCGGCTTTTCCTTAATCACGGGTACAACTAAAATCACAATAAAAAATTAATATTTTAACCAAACTTCTAATTTATGTTTTACGATCTTTGTTTTTAGCAGCTGAAACAAAAATTGAATTATTAAATCTAAATCAATTATTTCATATTTTAAAAAATTAATTAAACTATTATCACATACCGAATAATGTATAATATAAAATATGCGAACTTACTTTCAACATTTAGCGTAAGATTGGCATTGAGTTCACCAAGATCATTCTTAATGTTGCACTTGTAGAGTCCGGAATCGTCCGGTCCAGGATCGTTCAGAGTTAGTTTAATATAATAAATGTCCTCTTTTTCTGAAACGATGCTGATGGAGATTTTCGAGGACTCCTTTACCACTTTGCCTGCATGAGTCCATACGATCTGTGGCTTCGGCTTCGCCTTCACTTTGCAATCCATGACGACGAGCTTGCCTTTGTTTTGCGACTGTATCCGCGGCTTCTCTACAAACGTCGGCCCGTCTCCCTCTGGTTCCGGTTCCGCCTCGATATTCAAATTCAGATTAGCGTTGCTTTCGCCGTATTCGTTCTTCACGTGACACCTATAAGTGCCACCGTCCGGTGCCGATGGATCCTGTTATCAGAAAATAATTTAACAAATTTTAGATTTAAAAATTAGATATTAATAAAATATAATCTATTGATGTTATATATTCACATCAATAATCAGAAAAAAGAAATTTAAATTATTATAATAATTAAATAAAAATAATTAAAATTATTTTTACTTCTAAAGCAGAGAATTACCTTTATTTCCATAATAAGTTCATATACGTCTTCCTCAACCGTTTTGGACTTGATCGAGATCTTCGATGATTCTTTGACCACGTTGGTACCGCGGAACCATGTGACCTCCGGCTTGGGATTCGCTTTGCATTTACACTTCATGGTAATCAGCGTACCGGTCTCGTTCGGGATAATGCGAGGTTTCTCAATAAAGGACGGAGCGCAACCCGCGCCCTCCTCTGCATCTTGGAAAGATCCAAGGTTAGATATCGTCGGTGAAGATACGAGAGACGGTTCCAGGTGCGCAGCAGAACACCGGAAACGCGATCTCTACCGCGGTCGCGGGTCACCGATAACCCGCGACCGCGATTTTTAATGACGTTAGTCATGTTGTTGGCAGCTGAATAAGTTATGAAGCGAAGATACAGAGACTTCACGATTGGTTAGCAATAGCGCGGCTGTGCTTACCTGATGAAATGACCTATGAAATGATCGCGATCGTTTACCGAGAAAAATCGCTTGTACGTCTTTATCGCACGTTTATAAAATGCATTGTGCACGAAGGAGATACGAGGAAAGTCGACAGGACTCGTCATGGACGAAGTAAACGAAAGGGATTTCATTGTCCGAGCAATTTATAATTTTAAACAAACATAAAAAACAAAAAAATATAATTACTTTGAAATTAATATTATACAATATAAAATAAAAGAATACATCTATGTACCTAACTGTGTATATACTATGTTGCTGCTTTCAGAATTTTAAAGATTATTTATAACGAATTGCTATTAAAGATTAAAGAACTGATGACTTTTTTATAATTTTTGAAGAGCATTTGATATTGATGATAAATATCTCGGGATGCCAATGAAAACCTTCTCGTACGCTTCGAAGGGGACTTGCCTTGGAAGTTGAGGGAGATGTTGGCGTTACTCTCGCCGAAGTTGTTAAAGGCGTTGCAACGGTAATTCCCACCGTCAGCCTTGGTCGGATTTGAGATCTCGAGGGTCAGCAGATACGTGTCCTTGCCGGTTGCCTTGCGTGACATCTTCACGCGATTACTGTCGGTAATCGTTTTCTGACCTTGGTACCATGTTATGTCCGGTACCGGATGTGCCTCCAGAATGCACTCCATGATGAGTAAATCGCCCTCCTGACGGATCGTCGGCTTCTTCGGAAAACGCGGCGGCTTACCGTCCGGTATTCTGCGTAAATCGACACGTCAAACGAAAAATTCGTCGATTCGCTGATTGAACGCAGAATCTAAAGTCATCTTGGTGGATAACGTTATTTTTCACCTGCTGGCCACGCAATATTTCCGAAAACGCGACGTAATGTTACGAAAAAATGTTATCGTAAAAGTCGCAAGCTCTCTTTTGATCAAATCTTAATTTATCAAAATTTTTTAATTCTGAGTGACGGTTTTACATTTTTTTTTTTATTAAAAAAGAGCATGCAACTTCTCTATGTGCACGTATATGCAGGCATTTATAAATTTATAAAGATAAGTTATATTTTTATAGTTATACATTTTTAATCATTTTTAGTTTATATAAAGAATATGCATTTTTATAATAAAACTGTGATTTATAAGGAAATATTTTTTTAATTTTTTAATAATAATTTTTTAAAAATTAAAGAATTAAAAAGAGCATAAATTAATAATTGTAAATACCTGCATTTTCAATCTGATCGACTAATTTTCAACTTCTATTTTATAATACATTTGTTTTTACATATTTAATTTATAACGGAGTCTATGTTTTACGCAATCGAATGTAATAAACGTGAAGAACTCTAATAGTACTAACGAGATAATTCCTCAGAAACACAATGTATTTTTCATTTAATATACTTCGCTTTTATGACCTTGTCATAAATTTTGTTTTAATAAAAAACTCAAAATCAACCATTATTATAACTACTACTGCTATCATTATTTTTATATGGCAGTTCATTAAAAGCTACACTAAATCAATACTGTACTTTAGTAGCTCAATAAATCGAACAAAATTGCAATGCAATGCATTTTCATCGCGCCGCGTCAAACCGAAAAAGAGCGCGTCTATCGATTCGTGGCGCAGCAGAATAATTGATGTCGAAGACAGATCATCTTTCGATGCCTACTTGAGCCTGTCGCCACCTTCGAAGTTCAAATTAATAGTCGCTACCCCCTGGCCGTGCTTATTCTTTGCCACGGCCCTGTATTCGCCCGCATCCCCCTTTGCCACATTGTCGATCCTCAGTCTTGCAAGATGGTACAGCTTCTGATCAAGTTCCAGTGACATGGTGAATCGCCCGCCGTCTTTCACTTCCTCGGTACCGTGATACCTGCGATCGCCGCCAAAATCGAAGCAACCGCCGGATATTGACTTATGTCACAGGCCGTGCGTTCGGAAGTAATATCAGTACTCTTGAACTTTGAACCATCGGAACAAGATACACTATCGAAATTTTTTATACTTGAAACACTTTGATATGTAAATATGTGCATGTAAATTTGAAAATATCTATCTTAAACATTGTACTTTTCACAAGTATATTATATCTTTCAAAAATATTGGAACAATCTTTATAGGAAAAATTTAATTTGACGCAAAATTTCTCTTAATTTAATTCAACACTATTTCTTTTTTTAATTTTATTATCTAATCGATAGTTGAGTGTCTTTAATTCATGTTTCTTCCAATGATTCAACAATGACACTTTTCAATACTACTTCCTCCCGCGCGTCACAGATTTCAAGACCTTACCACTTGACACTTGGTTTCGGATCACCGACAAGTCGGCATTCGAAGGTGATGGTGTTACCGTCGTCGGATTGTCTAATCACCGGTCGTTCGGTGAAGGTAGGTTTAATACCGTCATCCGGTACGGGTGCCTCGTCGCCTACGTTCGACACAAACGATCGACATGTCGAAATTTGTTCGTACACTTGCTTGCCTACTCAATCCTTTCACTGCAATAATTACTGTCAGATTCCAAAAACACATGTTCTCCTTTAAATTAAAAATACCATTCCGCAAAATTTTTTTCAATTAAGTCTCATCTAAATATCTCATATAAATATCTCAAAGGGTAGAAAAAAGTTTGAAAAATAAACTTTCTTCCTTTTCTTCAAAACTACTTACCGTTTAAAATATTATTTACATTATATAGAAATAAAAGAAAAATTAAATCTTAATTTTTTAAGTCAACTTCCGACTGATCAACTAATTTTGAGAGACACAAAAAATGATTCTGCAGCGAAAGGCTTAAATACGCGAAGCATTTTGCAGTTCGATGTAGAGTCCGACGGAAACTTCTACCGAAACTGAAAACGAACACTCACTATGTGTCAGTTTCAACTGAAACCATATCTTCTTCATAAATATTAATTTTAATATGCGTAATTATTGATTCAATAATTAAATTATAATGTTTATGAAGAAGAAGTATACTTATATTCTTTGGCCAAAATTGACACACAATCAAAATTTCGGTTTTCGATTTCGGTTGAAATTTAATTATTGTTTTAATCAATTATAATATTTATGAAGAAAAAATATATGATGTATAGTATATCTATACAAATAGCCTTTATAAGATTCCTATTTTTTAATTTTGATTTCGGTTTTGGTTGAAATTGACATGTCGCCAAGTGTTTCGGTTCAGTTTCGGCAAAAGTTTCGGTCGGACTCTAGTTCGATGCGAGATCAGGAGTCACGTATCGATTTGGCTTAAATAGTCTTCAAGTTTCTAAACGTACTATAAATATTTATCTACTAAATAAGAATATCGCAGTTTAATTTACATTAATCTATTCAATATTTAATCTTTATGTAATCGATTTAATTGCTTCATTTATTCGTACCGTCGCATATAATGAGTGTGCAACGCTCAGGAATACACGCTCAAGGATTCAGGATCCTTGTCGATCAATATCTTATGTATTAGGTTGCTTTTTCTACTCTCCTTCCATCTATTCGCAATGTTTCGCTTGGTTGCTCATAAAATTATGTCACCTGCTCCATTTCTTTCGTACGGTTTGGAGGATGAACGCGCGCGCGATTAAATGAAAATTGGAACACTGCACAGTTATGCACAAGCATTTCGTCAAACGCTGTTTGCGAGTGAGTGAGTGGTGTAACATGTACGATCGTTCGACACGACATAACAATTCGATTGCATTAATGTTAATCGAGAAATTTCAATCTCATCATTCCATCTCCAATAATTACGATTCATTGAAATCGCGAATACCGCGTACAAAGAAAGTACTGTGTTTCCGTGTTGTGTCGATTAAAATACGTGACATTAATCGATGATGTGAATATATACATTATGATAGAGCAACACATAATTTCAAACATTTCTGTTTTACTGATAAAAAATCTCTACGAGCGAATTAGCCGATGAGAATGACTAGTGAAGCATGTGACAAAGACATATGTGAGTATATACAATATTAGAATCGTCGTCATTAACTACGTATTTTTCAACTACTATTTTTCAAGAACATTTCCGTACTTGCAAATTTTAATTCTACAAAAGCATATACATTTAGATTGGGATTATTTCTAAAGCGTATTTAAAAAAGTCTTTTATATATATTATAAATAATTCTTATAAGAATATTATATAATATATAATGCAACTGAGATGCACTCGCAATAATACTATCATATTTGATTCTAAAATTATATATAATGATATGTTTTAATTCTAATCATAAGCAATAATAATTTTAATTTTGTGCAATTGTGTGTGTGCAAAAGTCAAAAAGAACGTGACATCTCTGTTGGAATTAAAAGTGCGAAGTCACAAATGATAATGTGTGCAAGTAAGGAAATATATATTGTTAGCAAATCTAACCACCACAGAAATTTCGTATAATTGCGTTTGCGTGTGTGTGAGCGACGTAATGGACGCAGCGCATCCGAAACTGCCAGTGCAAACGGAGGCTTATCGTAGATGTTCACACACGGCAAACGTGATCGTATGAATAGAGAGAAAAGATGTCATCGAAGCAACCTAACGAAGCGTCAATAATGTTTAATGCTAATCTATAATCGCATCTCGTGCATCAGTATAGATGGTAAGTTTGGATTTACAACAAGTATTTTGAGCCTTAAGCCGTAAGAAATTAACAAAGTAAAATATGAGGAGAATAATTATAATTCGTCCATTTCTTATGGCTTAAGTTAAAAATCTATTGCAGATCCGGATTAATTTGTCTCGAGACGTAAATAATGTCTCTAATCTCGGCGCGAGATGCGATTCGAATTAATACGTGATTGAAGCAGCAGTACACGCGTTGTTACAAGTTGATTATTCTGATCCGCTCTCTACGCAACTTTTACGGTGCAAAATTCATGAGAGACAAACAACAAATGTATGTTTCTCTCGCAACAGAAAAATGTCGTTTAGTCGATTAAGATCAAATCAACGGGCTGTATATCGTGGCTCGCGTCGAGCCGATATCGATACGTGCTCATCGCTCGACTGAGACAAACCATTAAAAAATAAAGGTTTCCGCATATATTTACAATGAAAGAGACTGAAGAATGGACTGCTGATGGAACGGAAAAAAATTAAATAATAAACTGCGGATATACGTTGGTGTAGAGACGACATGAAGGATACAGATAAATAGGGCAGAGAATTGAGATGAAGACAGTCAGAAATGAAATAGAATCATCGATATACATCCCGAGTGAGAATGTAAGAGAAGAGTTGAGGAATGGTGCCGATGATCCACTTTATTTTCCGCTTCAAGGCAACGCGGAAAGGGGCAAAGGGAAATGTATTCGCTACTTTAGAAATTTAAAAAATTAAATATAGTTAATCAAACGTTATTAAATACTTATTGAAAAATTATTTCTAAAACTTTAAGGAATTTATTACAAAAAATGAATAATAAAAATTACAATAGAATTTTTCTTTACATAAAAATTAAATATTTTAAAATGCCTGCTTGATATCAAAAACAAATTGAAGCTAAAAATAATTTAAGAAAACTTATTGTTAACAAAATAACGCGAATTATTGAGCGTATAACTTCTGAAAAAAATTAAGCAGGTGAATGTTAAAATGTAAAGCGGATCATCGGTCGAAGTATATATGAGTTTGTGGTTATTTGTCGCAAAACTTCAAGATACTTACTGTCAAAATTCAGGGAAATTGTAGCGTTAGACTCGCCGAGCTCGTTCTTCGCCGTGACCTTATATTTGCCAGCATCCTCGACGGTCACGTTTTTTATTTCTAGAGTAGCGAAGTACGAGTGGCCATCTTTATCGACAGTCAGCTATATAAAACGGTTTAACATCGTTACTACGCAATCGTTACTGCGCTTAAATTACTTCGAATATGCTCCTAATTTTTCTCGTAAAAGAATTGAAAAATAAAAGACGTTTTAAGCAAATTATTAAGCATATTAATTCTTAGAATTTAGAAGCTATTCGGAAAACTTAATATTGCACACATATAATATTATTATAGATAAAACCATTTAAAGCAGAAAAATGAAATTGAATTTTATTATTCAATCTCTTTTGAATTTATATTACTGTAAAACTGTACGTGGTAAATCGTAATTGTGAAAATGACAAACCTTGTGCCTCGGTGAATCTTTGACCATGTTCCCGGTATGAAACCATGTGATTTTCGGTGTGGGATCGGCTGTGATGCGACACTCGAACAACAGCCGTTTACCGTCGTCTTCCTGTCTAATCGCGGGTTTCTTCGCGAAAGTCGGCGCGATGCCGTCAATTTGTCTACAAGCGCAAAATAAACGCGTGAGAGTCTGGAAATATATCCGTGTAAATTTATCGTTCGTTAAAGCGTTGATCGAATTAAATCACAGCGAATCAATGCAAAAATTTAGATGTTGCGTCACAAACATACATATAGGATATTGCTGATGATTTTAATTTCATCTCCGGCATGATCAACCAACACCTTAGCGAATCAAAAGACACAAGATCACATCTATCATTAACAAATTACATGCTTTAAGTCGTAAGTACTATATGTACGCATTTTGGCTAAATAATTAGTAAAAAAAATTAGTAATGTCTTCACTTCTAAAATAATTAGGATTTCTATTAGAGAAGAATTAATATTAATACTAAATAAAATAAAGGATAAGAGAAAGATGGTAATATTTGAGCAAATAAGAGAAAAGCAACTTTGGGATTTATCACGCTTTGGAATTTACCATACTTTTCGCAAATTGCTGCCAGAAATAACTTTGTTTTGATTAGTCGATGCTTCGTGACAAGAGGGACTTGTCGAACAACTTATTTTGATTTCGACAGCTAACAACCACTTTAAAATTCGGTACATCGCCATATAATCGATATTACTGTTTTTCTTGGCATCAATATTTTTGTCGACAGTTAAATATTTGTTTCAGAAAAATTCTCAGAAAAATCAAAAGCTAAATCGAAAGAACTAAGTGTAATCTCTAAAACGACTGTTCCTGTGAAATTTTTATACATATATCTTAACGTTGCTTTTTTTACTTCTCTCAAAAAAACCAAAATTAACTGTTTTTATATACTATAAAGATTAGTTATAAAAATCAATCAAGCAATTGTCTTGCTGTATTGTCGGTTATTTAAACTCACAAATTTTTAATCTGCAAGTTTTCTGTACAGTTCCTTCTAAATTAAAAATAAAATCATTACGATTCTGACCACCGTCTCTCTTCTAAATTACTCTTGCCAATGGAATCGCGCGTTTCGAGTTATGATCACCAATGTTTATTCTTGCAAATTGAGAACCGAGAGGCACGTGCCTAACACTTGCATCCCAAATGGACCATAAGTACATTAGCATGGGTGCATGTTGTGGCTAAGTTTAGCATGGAAGTAGGCTGCAGCTGTTTTCTCTCGACTTTCACTCTCGTCAATCAATTTGATTTTTATAAGTTGCGAATTTTTATTCTCGATTGACAGTTTGCCTTGTTGAGTTTGTTAGCCAAATTACTAAAAATCTCACCGTTCAAAGTATCGTGGATTTTTTTATGAATACATTTTATGCTTTCGAGTGAATTATCTTTCTCGCAATTGACCGAATTTTTTATTTCGATACACATCATGGAACTGCGACACGATTCAGGAGACGCGTGGAAGCGGAAAGGCTCGCGTTACTTTTAGAAATTCACGGGAATCATGTCTGTCGATGCGATCCCGAAATACAGCTTCTCGTCGTGTCGTCGCCGCAGTCTGCGACTTGAGGGAACTCGTCGAGAATACTGTCGACCCAGTTTCGAATTATCTTCGAAAGTCATTAAAGTCGCAATGAGACGCGGGAATAACTGCAAGCAGGATGCAAAAAGAGATTTAGGAACTGATAAATGCTTTCCGCTCGTGCAGATTGCACAAAGATCTCATAATTGATTTGTCAGTTGTGCTACATCGGTAAATTGTTATCATAATTCTTACGAAGATAAGAATAGTTTCCCACTTTATAATTGTACTATTAAAATATAATCCTATTATTAAAGAAATATGTTTCCTTTTTTTGAGGCGACACTAAATGTATAAAGCAATACAAGAAATCAGTGCTTAGTTATGCAACTTATTATTAGTACAATTTTAAAAATTTACTGCGTCTATGATTTACTGTACAATTAAATATAAATAAACTTGTTTAATCTTTTTCTACAATTGTAATTTAATTTGTGATTTTTATATACTTGTTATACTTTTCCACTTTTTCATCCTTCTCTGAGATTTCATCAAAGTTCAACTACATTTTAATCAATTGTTTGCTTTTCTCTCTCTTAATCCGATCACTCCATAGCTATAATATAGATAAATCGTAATTCAGGCGATATTTAGTGGCTTTTCTCTCACGAGAGATAACGTCCAAAATAATCCGGCCACTTTGTGGTCGGATTGCGCGTGCGAAACACGAGTGGTACCCAAAACTAGAAGACCTTAATTCTATTTCCATCCGCATTTCGTGTTTGCGGTTCTATCTGCGTGGGTGGATTGGTAAGAAGCGGCCGATCATCCAACTAACGCGCAGCGAGCCACCGTGATTTCTATCGAATTGTGCAGTGCGTGGTGCGAACGCGACCGAAAATAGCGGACATACCACGGTTATTCTCGGTCAGGCCGATTTAACGTGCACGTCGACGTTATCGGAAAAGATAGCGCGTAATAGTAAATAATGCACTAAAGAAATAGAAATTTTATTTTATCTGTTGCAAAAAACTTTCTAAACTTTATGTTAAATTTTCTTATTATTTTTATAAGGAATTTATAATCGATTGAACTTTGTGAATAAGTAAATTAGAAAGAAATGTTATTCAATAGAAAAGTTATTTGATATTACAGATTGCAGGATTTAAAATGTTTCTCAAGTTTTTGGGAGATAAATGGAAATTGTAATATATATATGTTATGAAATTAATTTTTTTTAGTTATCTATAATTTTCTTTAATTATCGTCATATCTGATTTTTTTTTGTTAAAAAATTGGTGGAAGATATGGTACTATATTGATTTTATGTTAACAAATTAATTATCAGATTAGTAATTACTACAGTTACAAAACATAGCGCAAATAATGCTCTCACCCTCTTCCAACGGATTGATCAGCAGCTAAAATCATAAATAAAAAACGAAAAACAACGAAATAAGCGAGAAAAGCAGAAACAAAAATAAAGCAGAGAAAACATACGATGGCGAAATAACAATAGAAACGCATTAGTGCATAAACGAGAAGTTTAAAATAAGTTAAACAGAGCCTGGAGAAGCGACAAATGAGTCTTAGTACAAACTGACTCTCAGTACAAACTGACTTACTTCTCTCTAGGCTCATCCATTGCTAGAAAAATATAACGGCAAAATGTTAATCAAGAAACAACGTAAGAAGAAATTTCAAGTACAAAAAATTATATGCAAATTTATATCAATTAAGAATTAATATTTGAAATCATCAATATTTTTTATTACAAATTAAAAATAAAGTTAATTTATTATAATATAAAAAATTAATTTTTTCGTAAAAGATAGATCTACATTTCTAATAATATGGTTAATCCATTTTACTTGCTTTATTAATTTATTAATTGACTTTAATCGTAATTGTCCTATTTTCTAAAATTCAAAGTAAATAAAGAATGTGATAAAATGAGTCATATGTAAAACATCTCCCTAATCAGTGGAAATTAGCCTACTTAACCTTCGGTCAATACATATAGATACCCATATCAAATAACAGTAAAACTTTTATATATTTTGCCTTTACTCGCTTTTTATATTTTACTTTTGAATTTTGTTGTAATATTTCAACTTTACTCTTCGAATAACAAAGAAACAGTTTTTTTTTGCACAGACTTGTCTCGTTTTTACTTTTATATTTTTAAAAGAAACTTTGAAACATAATAATGTAAAGGTAAAAAATTATACATTGACAGAATGGTTAATTTCATGATACACGTAATTTTATTTTTATAAAAATACAGCTATTATTTTGAGAAATAATTAGGAAACAAAAAAAGAAAATACGCTATAAATACTTACGACTAAAGTTGAGGTTGATAGAGGCAGCGACCTCGCCCATCTTATTCTTTGCCTTGACCTTGTAGAGGCCTGCGTCGGTCTCGATGACGTCGTCGAGCTCGAGCACCACCAGGAACTTATTGGTCCCGACACTTTGCACCTTGAAGTTGGTCCTGTCATCTTCGCTGAGTTCGGTCTCGCCACGAAACCAGGAAATGTCGGGTTTAGGTGAACTCACTAGCTGACACTCGAATATCAGCCGGTTGCCGTCGTCTTCCTGCCGCAGTTGCGGCTTTTGCGTAAAGCTGGGCGCGAAGTCATCGGCGACCCCCATCGTGGAGGCACGCCTTCGCACCTGTCTTTACAACGAGATCTGGAAGATCTCGTTTGCGTGTTCACACCCGCGATCTAAGGAAGGAAACAGCTCCTTCGCCCAGTTCGTCGGTTTAAATGGCGCCGACCTGCGGCACCATCCAACCTGTTTCTGTCGCGGATTTCTTCTGAGCTCGACGTTCACCTTTACTCGCTTTCCACAAACTTTTGAGAATACTAGAAGCAAAAGGAATACAATACATTACATTAATATGGCAATTAATATACAAGATGTCTCAGGTTTTAAATCCTGAGATATCTAAATTACATTAAATTTCCATATCATTAAACTTTCACATTTTTTAATTGTAACTTTTAATAAAATTTCTATAATATATGAACTTATACAACATCTATATATAACACTTATTTTTAGGCACAGTTTAATTATTAAATTTTGGAACACTTAGCATATATGTATATATATATAAAGTAAAATTAAATAATTTCTTTAAAAAGCCTAAATATAGAGAAGATTAAATAGACCACTGAATAACTATATGTGCATTATTTCCAATATATTGTTCTAAAATGCATATATCTATATACATATTAATCTTCGCTGCCACAATAAAGGCATTATGCTCCGACATAAATCATTTGTTTTGATGAAGCTATATTTTCTGGACAAAAATTAAATATATTTTCCTTTTAGAATTTTTTAAATAGTGTAATTAGTAATTGATTTGTTATACTAAAATTCTGACAGGGAAGATACATAAAGTTATTTTAAAATTTTAAATTCACCAAAGAATACAATTTCGTTTATCTTTATCCCCTCAAAATTTTCATTTGTCATTAAACAATAATGACTAATTCGAATACTGTTACTCTGTTTTGCTCAACAAGTACTTGCAGTTCAGAGTTCGGAGTGACGGCATCGATTATACTTTGAGTCTAGTCATCGTGGTTCAGTAAACCTTGGCAGCCTGAGTTGCTGTCACCTATAGTTGCCTCTCTCTCACCCGCAGTTATTTTTATACAGAACTACCTATACTTAGCCTTCTTTAGCGTCGCCTTACGAGCGTGGTAAGACATGAAGAGGATCCTACGTTGATACTCATCCCAGATGAATGAATACGTATAGTGACGAAGGAAAGTTAAAGGGGAAACAATTATTAGCTCTCAATCACATTATAAGACGCGGGAAGAATCAATTATACGAATAAAATTTAAAAAACGCTGAAAGAATTATGAACTGTTAAATAAAGTTTCTTGGAATTAAACGCGGCTTTATCACCTGGTTGATCTTCGAAGGGAAGATCGCCAGGAAACAGCGAAATGAAGCGAATCTTCGGCCGCGACAGTGAAAAAACGTTCAAGAATAATTTATCGTGTGTAATAAATTCAAAATAGATGTTTACATAATTTAAAGGAAGTACGGAACGATCGTCGTATTCTTGCAATAAACGAGCGAAACCCGAAATTGCTCTTCAACTCTTGGCTGTAGATTGCGATTTTGCGCTTATGATTTTCAGCTGCTGAAAATGCGAATCCTTCCAAAATAATAAATTACGCATATGCGTGCTGTTTCAATATGGTTTATCTAGTATCCAGGTGTTTCTGACGATATATTTTGCCAAGCGTTCGTATTTTCAGATCGTTCGTATTTTCAGATTGTTCAAAGCGACAGAGACCGAAGTTCTCAAAAACTACACATTCGCCAGAATGCAACATTATCTTGTCAAACATTACAGTAATATCTTGACATGTATATATAAAATCAATAAAATAATTAAAGTATTTTGAAGTCTTCAAATAATAGAAATATTTTGAAGCTTCTTTGTATCTCTGTTTCTAATTACTGACAATCTAATTACAGACTAAAGGAATATCAATCTATCATTGATTGTAATTATATTATTGTTCGCTTAATATAAATTTTCTCTTCAGAATAGTAAACACTATTATGTGCCACGAAAAAAGTATCGTAAAAACTGTACGTATATAAAAAAACTGTACGTATCAATTTTCTTTTGCAGAAACGCGAAATTAAAAATGTGAATTGCAAATTATTATCGTGTCGGTCTAATAATAATTTCATGCGAAATATTACGATGGGAATGAACGACGCCTGCTTTTCTTCTATCGTCACGTCGAAAGGATCTCGTAATTTTGCGAGTGTCGGGCCTATTTTCAGCAGGTACCAACGCGGTGGTGACGACTGCAACGACGGCGACGACAGTTCATCTGAACCGTCGATGTACAGGACCATTAAACCGATTACGTTTAGCTGCAAATTGAGCGTGACGAACGACGAATTTTCACGGAATTCGTGCGACTCTCGTTCTTTGAGCTTGAGCGAGTATTTTCCCGCGAGATCCCAAGGCCGAGGGAGCCGTGAGGTGACGTAAGGCCACTATTATTAATGCGGCTCTTGGCTCGAAAATAGGTTGGGCCAGTTATCTTGGTAATCGGTTATTATGTTTGGCATCTAACCGTGGAAACCGCGTACATTTGCGTCGCGATACAACCCGTCGGATGTAATATGTTCGCGCGCAAGTCCGAACAATCGTTCCTTTGAAACCCGTGGCATCGCGCGACGCCTTTAAGTGCCAGAAGTGTCGATTCGCTTAAGTGATCGCCAGCTACGTGACTAGATCATTTTCATGTGACGTATAACGTGACGTGGCTTAACGCACGATGACACCAATTTTTTGCACCTGTTTTTTTTTTTTGCAACTTTATTATATATTTCCTAATAAACAAACATAAATGTTCCATATCATTTCAATCAATCAATAGAAAA